GACAGAACTGAATATATGAATATTCAACCCCCCCCCCCCAATTATCGTTCTAGTGCTTGACGTCACTGATTTCCGTTATCTTTCTTTTTCATCAGCATCAAACTTCGTGAACAAAATACAGCTAATATAGTTACTACAATTTCTACCGTTGTTTTCATAACCAGCGCAATTACTATCAGTCCCATCGTAGAGACCAACACCATCACCACCATCATAGATGAGAATTATAACTACCAACATATATGACTTTAACTACCATAATGAACATCTTAAACAACACCATCGATGATACGACTGGCATTGGTCACAGTTTTTTAGGACTTGTTTCTTGCAGATGTATTGAAGATATACTCTTTGTTCTGTTTAGCAAACTGTAACCCCAGTTAGGGAGGCAAGGGAGTGCTATCACTTGCCCAAGGTGAACTCCCAGACAAACGGAGGGAAGGAGGTGTCTTAATACTTCTCTATTCTAGACCAGCTCCAAGCAAAGTCTAGCCGCTTCCCCAAAACAATGTTCTTGATGATAGTTTTTCATGTTATTGTTCACTAAATTCATAAAATATCCTAACCAAAATCTCATTTTCAAAACATCTGTAATTCATAAGTCATTCTTCCGTGGGTGTACCTGCGTATGAAAAACACTTAAAGCCCCGTTGACAAGGTATCGGATTACTATGGACCAGATCAGAATTTGAAGTTAATTAATGAAAGACAGCGGTGTCCTGAATAAATATACCAATCTATCAAATTGATACAATTTCTAATAATCGTTGTTTCATAAAAGCTGCTGATTCTCAATGTTACCGACGGTCGGCGATGACTATTGTCGGTGATCACTGGAGAATAAAGTGGCTTTGTTACTTCGTCAACGACCACACAATACATCGCCGACCGTCGGGACATATGGAGAATCAGGCTTAAGGTCAAAAAGATGTGGACGAGCGGATCTGGTACCGTGGGAACGCAGTGGAAAGTGATTGGAAGAACCACATTTTTTCCCATTGTTTTGACATTGCTGGAATTCCTGCATGGGAGAAATTACAACAATAGGAAAATTCAAATCTGTCGGACCCACTGTTGAAGTTTTGAAACATTCCTTGCAATTCGGTGGGGAACAGAAAAACTGAGGAAAACTTTCAAAACATAAAACTATCTCTCTGTATGGTCCCTGGACGATTTTGAATATCTCACGGGTTTAATTGGAGAGCGCAAAATGCATCTTGCCTGAAAAGGAGACTCCCTCTTATCTTCAGCATTTTAATAATCATCCCAGCTTCAAACTAGCTCACAAAATATATTTATAAAGTTAACTGATCTACGGTCCGATGCTGGCAGAAAGCCAAAAATAATTTTGTCTCCAATGTGTAGAAATTTTCATAAAGTTCACAAAAAAAGAAACATATATCAAGTTAACTCAGACCATGTTTTGATCCAGTCTCCAGACAAATATTGTTCTTGGCAGGGTTGGATAAATAAAGTAGCCAAATAGAGTCATCCCACAAGTTTTTAACAACCCTGGTACTTCGTATAATTATTGATATCACACAAGACAACTTTAGGGATGTAAGACAAACACCGAAATAAGAATTTCAACAAAAGTCAACAAAGTGAAATCATGAAATGGTTTACAAAATTACAAATCTAAACAAATTACATGCTGGTAGTAGGCAAATATTTAATATTGAGCGGCACGTTCGAAGTCATAAAGTCCTATTTTACCACTTGATGTTAGTTTGCTTACAAATAAGCTACATATAGCGTTAAATAAAAATCTAAGCTTGAGTATATTAAATTATGATACCGACCATCTGTAGGGTTTCTAAATTCGCAATGTCGAACGCATTAAAGATAAAAAAACGGCGTTTGAAACACACCTAAGATATTATTTGTTGTGTTGTTTCGTGACTTTGTTTTTCATGAACATCAGATGTATTGAATATAATATTATACACATTTCAGTCACGTTTTTACAATTTTCCAGCTCCGCTTCAGACTATAAATATCTTCCTTCCCAACTAAAAAATGAACGTTCTCTGTAATGTACATAGTTTTTGTAGTTCCATTACGGGCGAAACTAGAACGATAAATGTAGTGTTGTTTATTCATATATTCAGTTCTGCCGGACAGATTTCCATTCTAAGCTATTGCACTTACAAAGAGAATCCGTCCGGCACAACTGAAAACATGAATACTCAACCCCCCCCCCCAATTATCGTTCTAGTCCATAGTCCCGTTATCTTTCTTTTTCATCAGCATCAAACTTCGTGAAAAAAATACAGCTAATATAGTTACTATCATTACTACCATTATTTTCATAACCAGCGCAATTACCATCAGCACCATCGTATAAACCAGCACCATAACCAACATCATGGATGAGAACTATCACCACCAACATGACTGCAATCATCCCTACTATAATGAACATCTCAAACAACACCATTGGCATCAGTGACAATGTTTAAAGACTTGTTTCTTGCAGATGTATTATCTTTGCTTTGTTTAACAAACTGTAACCCCAGTTAGGGAGGCAAGGGAGTGCTATCACTTGCCCAAGGTGAACTCCCAGACAAACGGAGGGAAGGAGGTGTCATTTTTCTCCATTCTAGACCAGCTCCAAGCAAAGTCTAGCCGCTGCCCGAAAACAATGTTCTTGATGATAGTTTTTCATGTTGTTTTTCACTGGGTCCATTATGAAATATCCTAATTGAAAAATCAATTCCAGAACATCTGTCGTTCATAACAAAGTGTTTATCAACTAAGTCTCCTCCTGTCCTCGTGCATGTGAACGGACTTTTCAAGAACAACTCAATATGTAACAAAATATACAGCTTTGTGAAGATTTTCCTAAAAGCAGTCTTTTAAGCCTTTTTCGCAAGACGATTTTATTCCGGTTAAAGAAAGGATTGATTGCACCCAGTAGCGTAGCCAGCCTGACGATTTGTCCCGCCAGGCTAATATTTTGGTGTTTATTCACTGTGAAAATATACATAGGTGGAGTGGGACAAAACGCTGGCTACGCCACTGATTGCACCTCGCTTAATATCCAACAAAGCAACTTCCCGTCGCTTAATATCGTCCAACAAAGGCTTTGGTGGGATAGACAGTCGAAGAAACACCATATCACCTTTCAAGTCAGGAAAAGCCAGCACGTCCTCTTTTGGGGAAAGTTGAATTCTTTGCTCTGGCTTAAAAGTGTCCAAGTATGGTTGATAGGAAATGTTGAGAATCGCGCCAGAGTCCATGTCATGAAATGCTATTAGTTTTTGAGATAAAGTTAATAAAATTCTACTCTTGTGAATACAAAATGTCCTGGTGTAATAATTAGAGAACACGAATGTGGAAGTTATATTTTGAGAATCCTCAGTTTCCAGATCAATTAACTCACTCTCATCATCACTATCGTCGTTCGCGACTACTGCGACTTTGGAATCATTACTAAAAATTGCGACCCAACGCAATCTGTCAAACCCTCCACCGTCACGGTGATAAAAGACTTCATACGAAGTTGGGTTTTCGGTATTTCTTTTCCAAATATAACATTTATTCATATTACAACCAGAGATAAAGGCCCCACCAGGCGAGATTTCCACTTCCATCTTAGGTGCAATTCCAGGCAAATTGATCATTACAGGACCATCAAAATCTCTGACATCGAAAACTTTCACGGGTTCATTCCTTTCGAGAGCAGAGCTGACAAAGCCTTCAGAAAAACCAACATTTGAATCAAGGAAATCAGACCAGTCCTCTAGCCTGATTTCAGACAAGTCCTCTAGCGCCACGTCCTGACTGTGAGTAAACAAGATCTCTAGATTGTCATCTACCGGGTATCGCGTTAATTTGGGAATCCTGTTAAATTCACTAATCACAAACAAGAAATCTTCCGACCACCAGCATGAAAACCTTGACCCACATTGACTGCTTTTGAAACGTTGTTCAATTTGGCTGGTATAGACATTCCATACGTTGATATATCCATCTGAGTTGCAGGATGCAAGTCGAGAGCCGTTAGGAGAAAACGAACTCGAATAAACGACCGTTGGCTGTGACAGACAGGATTGCTCTTGTTTAGGAGCTAATGTCTTAAAGGCAATTAGTTCTTTATCATCTGAATAGAGCCACAGATTATCTTCTAAAGCTGGTATTTTAACTGCTTGAGAGTAATAACGGGCAGCAGGGGAGGCAGCAAGATAGTTCCAAGCGAGAATCGCAGTAACAGGAATAGTTTCTGTGTCACTCGAATAACAAAATTCTTTGGAAGAAAAAATACACTCCACACCTTTGCAGATCCACGGACACAACATTATACAACTTTTTTTATCATATATGTTATTTGACCTTATTTCTAATTGTTTAGAATTTGGTTCCTCAAATCCCGCTGGAAACATCGTTCACATGTGCTACTCTTTAACACAACTGATTTCTCCCTTTTCTCTTTTTGGTACGGATAGCACCTGGATGAAATTATTTATTCCAAATGCTACACTTTTTAAATCGTTAGATAAAGCAACAGCTGTAATAAAACCAAAGAAACTGCGTCTCCAGACTGCTCGCGGCAAAACCGAAACTTCGTAAGAATTCGACTCGACAAAAGGTGAAACGTTTGATAGTAGCGTCTCCGCGATTTTCTTCTCATCATCGCTGAAATAACCTTCTGGAGAATGTGTAAGAACCGCTTGTAAATACCATTGTGAAAATAAGGTCAAACGAACTTCACTTACTTCGTTGCAATATTCCCCCAGGAGTTTCAGGGCATGCTCCAAAAACTCAAATTCAATGACATGGTACGAAATGCGGGCGCGTAAATTTTCGTTTTTAACCCAGGAACATTGCAGTAATGTGAGCCAGAAACACGGCAATTCACTTGAACCGATTACAGTTAACATATAACATACGATAATAACATCAACTGAAAAAAACAAACCTTCCTCCATTTCACACTTTTCTAGATGTTTTAAACCATGTCGCAGAGCGTATTCCACGTCATTACTGAACTTCACCTCAAGTCCTGAGCGAACACCTTTATCTTTAATTTCTTTAAAAACCTTTTCGCATAAAAGCCAAAGCGATCTATGTCCATCATTGAGCTTGACAGCATACTGGTGATCTTTGTAGCTCTTTGCCAGAAGCCAATCAATAACGGATTTGTGAAAAACGGTTAACCTGTCATCTGAAACGTACAACAAGCACGATACGGTTTCATTAATTTTGTTGATAATGTCTTTCGTTTCGCGACAATCTGGAGCTAAACCAAAAGCCTGAGCGATGAAAGTGAGGGGAAGATATCCTTCGGAAGCAGCCAGCATTTCCAAAATTTTCAACACATCAAACTTTTCATGTTTTATGGCGCTAAGCTCGTCTTCAAGGCGTCTAAAATATCCTTGGTAAACAGAATTCATACCTTCTGGGAGAAACGCCAAAACGTCATTATCTGTTATCTTCTCAACATTATAGCGACCCCTTAGCCCAGATTGAAAGTAATATGCATAGAGAAATGAGCCCTGGCATTTGGCAACAAAAATGGAAAGTAAACTAATAGATTTACGCCATCTTAAGTGGTGAAGATGTGGATACTCATACAAATCACGGCTCACTTCACTTTGATTTACTTCCCTGCCAACTAAACTTGGAAGACAATCTTTAAAATAAAGTTCAAGATCTGAGTTATTGTTGGCGTTAACATTCGCAATGTTTGTCTTTTGATCGTTTCTTAGTCTTAGATCAGCAACGGAAATCTCTGGCCTGCTCGTCACCAATATTTTGATGTACTCGGGAAGATCAGGAAAATATTCGGCAATCAAATGCGTAATTTCATTCTTATGATCAGCAGCACTTTCATCCAAGCCATCGATCACGACTAAACGTGGCTCTTTTATTTCCAATTCATCTAAGGGATTTTGTAAATATATTTGGAAGGCATCTCTGAGATTTTGAACTTGATGAGGTCGCTTTAACTGATCCAGAAGCTTCTTTTTAAAACCAGGGACATTCCCACACATCTGACTTGCGAGAGACTGCATCATCACCATAGGATCTCTTAGGTTTGAATTACTGAAATCACAAAAGTGACAAGCAGCCAGCTTTCCTTTCTTCCCAAAACCATCACAGATTTTGGCGGCGAAAACGCTTTTACCAAATCCTGGTCCAGCTGTTATTAACCTTATCCTCGAATCGCTGTCACACTTTTGAAACCACTCGTCAACGTTCCTTAACAACCACTTTCTTGTTCCAGGAAGGAAAAAATTCACTTTTCTTCGAATTTTACCCATAAAATTATGCTTAGGAAGTTTTCGCAATAAATCTTCATCACTTTCCATGCGGGATTTTTTTTCAGGATTGGTGTCCCCGGGTATTGATAGCGATCGTTTAGCCAATGAATGGCGGATTTCAATTACTGTTTCGCGCGTTTCATTTACTGCTTCGCGCGTTTCATTTACTGCTTCGCGCGTTTCATTTACTGCTTCGCGCGTTTCATTTACTGCATCGCGCGATTCATTTAGTCCAATGCGCGTTTCTTCAGCGACTTGTGTTAAATGATTTACAGAACATTCAATTCTTCTAAGTTTTTTAATACACTCATCTTCTCGTAGTTTCCAATCTTCAAGCATTTGGACATATATTTTTTCTTCGGGTCCTAGAAGACATTTTTCTAAATCGTCGACATCGCTTTGCGGAATTCCCAATTCTACCAATGCCTTGGAGATTTTCTTCCATAAAAATTGAAATAATGAATTCTCAACTCGAGTTGTTGTTACATGTGCAATAACTTCATTTCTGTAATACTTGATTCTTGTGATATTCGCTTGCGTCGATCTATCAGTATCCGGAGGCATTACACCCCATCCTGTCGAGGGAAAACCACAAATATTCCGGAATAGAACTGTAAGTAACGTGATATCAAAGGTTTTGGAATCTGGAGGGTTGCCAGACGGAGGGAACAGTAAATCCCACTGGGAATTATTAATAATTCGAGGTTTTAACTTTTGAAGAGATGTTTTGTTTGTAGCTAGTACTCCGGGTAGACTAACATGTGGATGGATGGCATCAAATGTATTTCTCAAAGCCTCAGTTCCTTTGTCAACTAAAAGTCTACTAAGTCTTGTAAAATTTGCTTTTTCTTGCAGTTCGTCAGAAGCCATGGCATTAGACACGGTTAATTACTGTAACAAAATGGTTGTACTAATTATATAGGCTACACCGAAAAAAAGAATGGGATAGAGTAGATTTTCATAAAAGAAAGTCGCAAGGATCTTGTTTAACGAAGGGATTTCTTGTGAAAAAAATTAATAATAATTTAAGAAAATATCCTTCGTATTTAAGATCTATTGCTACTCAATTTTTTCATTTTCGATTGTGAACTGTCGTTGAACTCTTTTCACAAATTCCATTTAGTTCAAGCAATAAGTTTGAAAAGCTGTTTCAGCAAACTCTCGATCATTTATCTTTACAAATAACACTTCATAAAACATTTCTCTTCTCAGACTAGCGGCTGTGCCTCCTCAGCATGTAACCAGTTAAGCTGGATTATTATATTTTCGTAAGTCTATGCAGTACTATTAGGCGCTCAGGGATCGAGTGTGTTAAAATATAAGCAACAAGTCTATTAAAATAAAACTGTATTGATCGATCCTTAGTCTCAGAACAACTAATCTGCCTTATTTGTTGTTTAGTGTTTGATTATTGTCAGGTTTTAGCTCATGAGCCTCGCAATTGTGTTTTGAATTATTTCTATATTGGTTACCAGTTCATTTAACATGACGTCACAGCTCTGTACTGTGCCACTCAATACAATACAATAGACACTCATACTGTTAATATTCGAAGAACGTAATGACGTCACAGCTCTGTACTATGCCACTCAATAAAATACAATAGACACTCATCTGTTAATATTCGAAGAACGTAATGACGTCACAGCTCTGTACTATGCCACTCAATAAAATACAATAGACACTCATACTGTTAATATTCGAAGAACGTAATGACGTCACAGCTCTGTACTGTGCCACTCAATAGAATACAATAGACACTCATACTGTTAATATTCGAAGAACGTAATGACGTCACAGCTCTGTACTGTGCCACTCAATAGAATACAATAGACACTCATACTGTTAATATTCGAAGAACGTAATGACGTCACAGCTCTGTACTATGCCACTCAATAGAATACAATAGACACTCATATGTTAATATTCGAAGAACGTAATGACGTCACAGCTCTGTACTATGCCACTCAATAGAATACAATAGACACTCATACTGTTAATATTCGAAGAACGTAATGACGTCACAGCTCTGTACTATGCCACTCAATAGAATACAATAGACACTCATACTGTTAATATTCGAAGAACGTAATGACGTCACAGCTCTGTACTGTGCCACTCAATAGAATACAATAGACACTCATACTGTTAATATTCGAAGAACGTAATGACGTCACAGCTCTGTACTATGCCACTCAATAGAATACAATAGACACTCATATTGTTAATATTCGAAGAACGTAATGACGTCACAGCTCTGTACTATGCCACTCAATAGAATACAATAGACACTCATACTGTTAATATTCGAAGAACGTAACCAACACTGACACAAACGTACCTTCTTAAATCTTCAAAGCGATGATTCCACTACATGGTCAAAATTCTCAGGAAGGATAACGGACAGATGGACTGAAATGTAGATTTAAAGCCTGGAAAGAACAAATTCTGATTGTAACTTTAACCCACCCAATCAGCGGCTAGAATGTCATGTGAGTGTCACGTGGGATGCGTATTTATAATAGTAATTGCACGTAATAGTAATTGAGTGGAGTGCTGATGCGTCATTACAAAAATCGCACGACCACGAAGCGGGAGACAATGTTATATTTCAGATCGTATACAAACCCTCAATTTTGTTTGATAGAATTAATATTATCATTACTGTTTACTAAAACAAAACACTTCGCAGCCCTAAAGTTGAAATACACATGATTTTCGCAAAGAAATAAAAAGTAGGTATCATTAAGAATGTATATATAACTTATAGCAAACATTTTAAAAACTAGTTTAAACTGTAGTTATATAAAAATTAACTATACGTTCGGCTCGTCATAAAACAAAAACATTAAGATTTAGCAAATTTTTATCATTCTTACTTCTAAGATTTGTTATGATATAAGTTTTCTTAAATCTGTTGCCGTTGCATCTTGCAATCATGAAACAGTTTTGATTTCATAAGGTTGTAACTAAGTTTGTGGATGTTTCGCAGATAAATAATATAATGTGGAAAACCCACTCATCTCATTATTTCTCGTTCTCCTAAACTCCCACGCGTGTTTCTATACATCATTTTGATTCTATAATTTAAATAAGGAATAGCAATTACTCGTAATAAGTATTGGGTAAAGTTTTCAAAGAGGAAAATGAACTAGGCTCAGGTTCAATACCATCACAGCAATACGATTATGTAATGTTTAGGAATTTAACTTTGATGATTGAAATGCAAGTGGATCGTTAGACAAAAGTCACCATCGCATGTACGAAAGCTGGATAGCGCTATCCACCGGTTAGTTATTTTTTCAACCGTTCTAAAAGTGCTGAAAAAGCATTAAAAGTACAGCTTTGGGGCTAAATATTATTAAAGAGGATCTCAAATTTGTGTATACTAAAGTTTAATCAAAGTCGTACTGAACAACGGTCAATTTCAAGACCATGAAAGCTGGATAGCCCTACGCAACGGATAGTGCATGATTTCTTCTATCGCGCTAGAAATTAGAATACATATAATTATAGGACCAAAGGCTTTATTTCAGTTCAACTCATAATTTGACGATATATTTATAGATAATAACTTTGTGGAGTATTACCGCTGTACTGAATACTATTATATACACGCCTGAAAACGCTCAGGTTGATGCATGTTAATATGAACAGGATGGAGCAATGTTGTGCTGCCCACATTGTTCAGAGTTGTTATCAACATTGAACAATATTGTTACACCCGATTCAGTGTGGCAATATTGTTCAATATTGATGAACAATGTGGGCAGCACAACATTGTTCCATCCTGTTCATATCAATATTGAATCAACCTGAGCGTTTTTACGCGTGTACTCAACACAGCTTAGCTGCACTACTACACCAAATGTAATTGAACAATAGAAATGTTATGAGTCTGAATTGCCTGAATGCCTACCATGCATTATGCACTCTTTCCTTATCTTTCTGGTAACAGTTCTGGGGTCGGTTGCATGAAAGCCGGATAGCGCTATCCACCGGATAGTGATTTTTTAAAAATGCTCGAAAAGCGATAAAATTTTAGCTTGAAAGCAACAATTATTAAAGAGGATCCTTGATTTAGGAATACTGAGATTTAATCAAAGTTGCGCCAAATAACGGGCGATTTTGAAGCGATTGAAAAAAACACTATCCGATGGATAGCTCTATCTGGTATTTACAAACTTCTAGTCCGAATTTTTCGACAAGGTCGGTATATTTATGATCGGAAAACACGAATTTTTTAGAAAATGCAAAAAACCCGATATCGAAATTTTCATTTCATATACACTTTAAACTGCAGTCTGAAAATTTGTTGCTGCAGTATATGACCCCAATGGCATAGGAAGGTCGGTAACAACATATTATTCTGGTGATGAGTTAACAATTTCGGAATGGTATTCCTTATGTTTAAAGAAGCGAGAAATGTGCAATGTATTTCAAGTATCACTATCACACGAGTATGCTGACAACGCCACCATTATACACTCAAATATTTCCTAACCATCTGTATAGACTGGCAACTACGTTTACGAATTTAAAATCAAGCGCGAAAAATCAGTTTCTGGTTATCGCAATGAGGAATCATAAACCAACGAAGATCTCAAACGCATGAAATCTCACTTTAAGAACAGTTGAAGGCAAAAAAACCCAACAAAATTCGCAATTTTATTTAACAAACAGCCAAAGCAGACAAAACGACAGACAAAGCGTCGCTGTGTTGTGGCAAGCACTGACAGTTACACGCATGCCTGTGACTGTGACGACCTCACTGTGTTGATGACATAAAATCATTTATACTCTTCAAGTTCTAACACTGACACAAAAGTACCTTTTCAAATCTTGAAAGCGATTAAGGGTAAGGTTTGGTGAACACCGTATAATTATACGGTATAATTATATATGTCAATGGTTGTAATACGTTTTCGTTGCTGATCAGGCTTCCCTCATTGTGGGCTATTCTTAGCCCAGAGTCAAGCGTTGTTTTGATTTTTTGTTTTCTAATTGGCCCATTTTTATAACGTGTTTTGCCCCATACAAAACATGTATTCTCCCCTATTTACTTTCATTCTAACTCTCCAGACGAAGGCCCTCGGGTGGAAACGTTGAGAAGTGTTTTGTCTATTTTAGGCAATTGTTATACCACATTTGATGCCATTATGCGAAATGCCCAACTCTTTTCAATTTGAGGATGAGAAATGTTCATGTGGTGAATAATGCATTGAAAAGTTAAATACATCCCAATCAACCTGACCTGATAAACCTTCCAGTCAGTCAACCAGTGAACATATGCAGATCATTTAAAGTAATTTTTTTAAAATTAATATTTATAAATGGATTTTTCCGGACGAGATTGAAGTCTCAAGTGCAGCGCCTTGTCACACAAAATGTTGAAAGTTTTATGAATACTGTCTGAATAACACTGTTAGGAAACCAGAGTGTTATGAGACTTTCAATTTTATCACCTCTGGATCAGACAGTTTACATATGGTTTGATTTTTTCAGTTATTATTATTAGATTATTTTGGTTATTAATTATTTCATAGTTTAAATAAATTTAGCATGATCCTATTTGATTTACATGAGATATGATTGAATTAGTGATTAGGTGTTAGTGTAAACAGAGAAGATAAGAATATTGGGTCCATTGTGAGACAAGTGTGCGAGAGAGAACGATAGTTTGACAATCAGTGGAGATCGACTCTTCAGGTACTGTGAGTTGTGTTTAAGTTTGTTTCTATAATAGTTTAACTGTAATCTAATCAGAATCCAATCAATTTAGAATTTACAATATATTATGAAAAATCTCCATTGGATTGTGTTTGATTTCGCCCAATTGATATAACATATATTGTTTGACTCATGTGATCAAGTGAGTTTTAACCTATAAATCTTAATGAGAATACAGTATGAATAATGTGTCATAAAAAATATTATAAAATTGGATCTTCATTCTGTGATTTGAAGGTTGCTTCTGAGGGGAAACCCATTTGGGAAAACATTTTCCCCTTTGCACCAACTGGGGAGTTTCCCTGCCATAAACATGCATATTTGGCATGGATTACATTTTTAGGACAAGAAAGGAATTTCACCCTCTTGGATGGGCAAACAGATTCTAATATTTCTAATAAAATTCTCATCTAACAATTTACTGGTTATGTGATAATTATCCACTTCCACAATGGTTTCAACAAAATCTGTTTCCTAACAATTTTCCTAACAATTGGTGATTTCATTTGAAGTTGAACTTACTGAACTAATTAATTTGTGATAACTCTAATAATTTTATCTCAGCAGGTGGAATAAAATGTTTAAAATGGACATGTAAGAAGTGAATGAAATGATTATATTCCCCCGGAAAAATATTTCTGGACTATGGTCTAAATGAATTAGTAAATGTTTTAAAATTGATTTCCTGGGGCCGGCTGTACGAAAGGCGTTTAGCTTAAACGGTGGATAAGTGAGAGTTTAAAAATACTCTCATAGGTCTTGTGAATGACTGAACCTGCATCTTATGCATTTGATATGTACTTCCATGAAAATTAAACTATTTACATCGAAATATTTCAGCTCAGTTGTTCAATAAATAGATTTTGTTTTCCATTTTGAACTTAGCCACCGTTTAAGCTAAACGCCTTATTAAAACTAGGAGAGCACTGTATAAATTGAAAATTAGATGTGTTTTAATATAAGGACCACTTTATAGCAGAACTCGTGAAACAAAACTATAGCGCTGACTGGTGTATTACTTTGCATACGATATTAACAGCAAAATGTTAAAAAATAAATTCTTCCCGTACCCAGCAAAATCAGATGTGAATATTTCTGTTGACTAAGCAATGTATATATAAGCAACAATGTGTGCAATATACTACGTGAAACACCAATATAAACCAAACCATCCCGTCAAAACATTGTAATTTAAAGCAAAATAGACAAAGACGCATTCGTATATCGCAATATGAGGGAAAACATACCTTCGGCAATCTGGTCTTGTCTATGTAGTGTATATTTATACCACGACTGGTCCGAAGCCGTATGCTTTGTCTTTGGGCTTGTCTGCCTCGATAAAGCTTGTTAAAACAACTTTAGTTTTGCTCAAACACTAAATCAAAACTTCCCCAATAAATAAGTTGATCATCCACGACGAATCAGGATCACTTTGGGAGGTTCTAGTCCAAGAATACGATCATTTTGACATATAACGAACACAGACTTTGAAGAAATACCAGTTACCACAGTAGCCCGCTATTGGATTTGTTTTAGTTAAATATAAATACATTCTATGCAAAACGACATGAAGTGTCATTTTCTTCACTCACTGCTGACATATTATCGCAGGCGCCAATTCGTGCGGTGCAGTGTAACCTTTATGTATATATTAATATAAGGTTGGCAACTCTTTGTCGTATTTTCACATTTACGAATTACATACACAAACTTACAAACGTAAATGTGAAAATACGACAAAGAGTTGCCAACCTTATATTAATATATACATAAAGGTTACACTGCACCGCACGAATTGGCGCCTGCGATAATATGTCAGCAGTGAATGAAGGATGGGACACTTCATGTCGTTTTGCATAGAATGTATTTAATATTTAAGTAAAACAAATCCAATAGCGGGCTACCTGTGGAAATACAAAGACTCAAAGAGAACAGGAACTGGGTGAGGTTTTGCGCCACTGAGCTATATGGCACCGCAAACTGAAGTTAGAAAACTGGAACGATATATCTAAATCATATATTTATGAGATAACCGCTCAAAGAATACAGCCTTTAAAACACTTGGGAGAGCACAGAGAAGTG